GGGTAGTTTTGTGCTCATCACCCAGTCATCACAGCCTTTCAGGCCAGTCATGCACAGCAAGCAATATGAAAGATAACCCAGCATTTGCTGTTCATATTCTATGTACATCAAAGTAAGCCAAATTAGGGGGAAAAACTGACCTTGAAGTTGGTGAGTTCAGAATCTTTTTGCCTGAGTATTTCAGTCATATAGTCAATGAGATGTAAGCCAAATGCATTCTTTGTGGTGATTTTCTGGAAAGAAAGACACAATTAAAGGTGGTGAACAATATGTTTTAACAATGACTACAACTGTGTGCATCACCAAGCTCAAAAAAGTTCAGCAATCTCACCTCTGAAATACCAAGCCATAATCTTAAGATGTTGGATTTCTTGCCTAAAATGGAATAGCACCCCTCAATATGAAATGCCACCAATAGTTAGGGCTATAAGTGAACCACAACAAAACTAACAAATATCCATGTCACAAGCCTGACATAGTAAGTATGAACAATTCTTTTGTACAGTTGTCAGTAACCAGCAGTTTAACTCACATTTTCTGTTGAAAGCTTGATGCACGTGGAGTAATGATCTGCAATCTGAGTATTAGACAAGTGTGGGATTGCTGGCAGCGATGTCTCTGCTTGCCTACAAGACAAATGCAGACATTTAGACATGGACAAGGCTCTCTCTCTCTCTCATCCATCCACCCATCTATCTATCTATCCATCCATCCTTGAAGTGGCCCATTTCTGTAAACTAATCATGCTTAAAGCCCCACCTCCTTAAAAGCTTCAAAGCACATCCTAATCTCCATTGCATATTCTAGTGCAATGGCACAGTCACTCTTTTTGGTGGGTGTGTTTATGTGTGTAAAAATTGCTCTTACTTGCTAACTGGAGACTGTATGGACAGAGGCGATTCAGTGCTAAACTGTAGATCAAACACTCTGGAGCGTCTCCGCTGTTTCCTCTCCCGTTCATCATCGTTCTGTGGGCAGCTCTGCAGCACTGGGGTGCCACAGGCACTGAGCGGCTGTCGTCTGGTGCCAGGGGATACAAACTGACTGTCGGAAGAGGCATCACCCTTGGAGCCAGCAGACTGTGGTGTTGAAAAGCTCATGATCACTAGCAAAAAACAAACAGAATGGAAAACATTGTCTTCCCCTAGTAGATTTTTAGTTTGCAATTTATTTTCTGCTCAGCTACCTCTTTTATTCCACCCACAACCAGCTGTTCAATCTTGACCGGCTCATAGTTGACTCTGCCTTCCATCCTTCCAAGGTTGGTAAAATGAGGACCCAAATTGTTGAGGGCCATATGCTGACATTTGTAAATCGCTCAGACACTGCTGTAAAATACTATAAAGTGCTATTGCCTTTGAATAGAATAGAATAACAGAGTTGGAAGGGACCTTGGAGGTCATCTAGTCCAACCCCCTGCTCAGACAGGAGACCATATGCCATTTCAGACAAATGGCTGTCCAGTCTCTTCTTAAAAATTTCCAGTGTTGGAGCATTCACCGCTTCTGGAGGCAAGTGATTAATTGTTCTGTCAGGAAATGTTTAATTCTAGATTGCTTCTTCCTTAATTAGTTTCCATCCATTGCTTCTTCTCCTTCCTTCAGGCACTTTGGAGAATAGTTTGACTCCCTCTTCTTTGTGGCAACCCCTGATATAGGAACACTTCATTAAACTAGACATACCCCTTCTCTTCATTAAACTAGACATGCCCAATTCCAGCAACCATTATGTGTTAGCTTCTAGTCCTCTAATCATCTTTGTTGCTCTTCTCTGTACTCTTTCCAGAATCTCAACATCTTTACAATTGCTACTTAACAGATTTGCATGTTGGTTACTTTTAGCCTCTTTCTCCTAAATGCAGACCTGGTTTCATTACTTTTTTGGGCTCACAAGCAGGATAAATCATATTCAATAAACAGTCAGTGGAACAGTTTGCTTCTGGAAGCTCTGAGTACTCCATCACTGGAAGTTTTTAAGAAGAGATTGGACAGCCATTTGCCGGACTAGAAGACCTCCAAGGTCCCTTCCAACTGTGCATGCTTTTTTCCAGCGACAGAAACATGATGGGGCTGCCGCTTGGTCATTTGCAGCAGGCATCCCTTAGGCCAGGGGTAAGGAACCGTGGCCCTTTTATGACTTGTGGACTTCAACACCCAGAATTTCTGAACCAGCCATGCTGACTCAGGAATTCTGGGAGTTGAAGTCCACAAGTCCTAAAAAAGCCAAGGTTCCCTACCCCTGCGTTAGGCTTTCAGGAACCTACAACCCAGCCTTCTGCAGAGATACTCAACAAACACGTGGGAACTGCAATTCTCGGAAGTCATCCCGTGGCTAAACATTCTGAGAGTCTTAGTTCCCACTCGTGGACGGATGAGGCAGGTTTATTGTACGTGCATTTTGGGCAACTGCAAGATCTCGGGTTGTTACGAGTCAGAATTCAACAAGCCCGACGTTCACGAATTAACACTTGAAATACCAGAACTAAGCGAGGCATCCAGCGCGTGCGTACTTCCTCCCGTCCAAACTGCGGCTGCTCCTCGCCCGCAGCCGCTTGAATACCCGACCTGGCTCTTTTAGCCAATCAGACGGCGAGTTTTAGTGTGCCGCGCTCAGCAGAGCCGATTGAATCGTCGAATGGCCAAACGGTTCATATTCCCGCCCCTCCTCACATGAAACCAATCGGCGCGCAGTTCCCTAGACAACATTTCTCCCGCCCCTTTTTTTCTGCGCGTTTTCCATTTTCCTGCTGAAACCGCGGCTGCCGAAATTTACCTCAGCAGGAGTTTTTAATTTCTCCATTCCCATCTAGCCCGCAAGGCGTTTGGCTCACCGGAGTTCGGAGGACTAGTGGCGGCCGCTCGTAGTCTTTAGGCGACGATCCTCTCCCCGGCGTCGTCGGCCATGAATTCTCCTCGCTCGAGAGACGCCACTAATTTGAATCGCCCTCGCGGCCGCATTACGCAGGCGCTGGAGATGCGTGACGTCATCACGCAAGGAGGGGATGTGAAGAGGCGCGCGATTGGGTGGGCGGAGTTAACAGAGGGCGCCATGGACGATGTGGGGTGCATAGAGCTAGAAAGTGTAAAGGGAGCCACCTTACAGGTAGTCCTCGACTTACAATAGTTCGTTTAGTGACCCTTCAAAGTTTCAATGGCACTGAAAAAAGTGACTTTTGACGGTTTTTCATAGTTACAACCTTTACAGCAACCCCAAGTTCACCTGATCAAAATTCAGATGCTTGGCAACTGACTCCTATTTATGACGTCGCAGTGTCCTGGGGTCATGTGACCCCCTTTTGCGACCTTGTGACAAGCCAAGTCAAGGGGGAAGCCAGATTCGCTTAACAGCTGCCCGCATGGCTCCCAGAAGGTGAGGATCCAGGGATGAGCCAGGATCTGCTCCAAGGAAGGTCACTTCTCTGGTGCTAACGAGAGGCACCATTCAATCAAGTGGTGGAAATCTGAGGATATCCTACAGTGACAATGGAGTTTCCCAAGCAGGATGTCCTCATCACGTCCAAAAGGGATGTCCCCACAAAGCATACCATATATAGCAGCACACTGTGGCAGGCACACCATGATAGTGGTGGTATTTTATCCACTCGGGCTGTATACCTGTGTGCCATCAAAATCTGTGTAGAGAGTATCCTGCAGCAATGCACCTGAGCCAAAGTCTATGAGCTTTAAGTCACCGTGCAGAAGGTCTACCAAGATGTTTTCGTCTTTTATGTCTTGATGCCACGCAGGTGGCAAGGGTGCGCTGCCTCCACCACTTGCTGGAAGTAACCAGCAGCCACATTTTCCGGGAGTTGCCCCTGGTCTGGGATAACGTCAAACAGGTCCTGAGAAACGAGGGGTCGCTTCATAACAATGAAGTACAAGTCAGGCTGCTCAAACCAATCCAGAAGACGGACAACACCTCGGCAACCTGAGGACGATACTTTCTTCAGCAGATGGACTTCCAGAGGGATGAGGGTGCCATTCATGTGGAACTTGAAGATTCGATCCTTGGCAACATGTTTAACAGCCATCGGGAGGGAGTCGCTGAGCCGCGTCCCTGTGTAGACCATGCCGAACCCGCCGCTTCCGATCAACGCTCCCAAGCGGTAGCGCGTCTCCAAGGCCACCTTCCCTAAGCATCCAGGCTCCTCTTGCACAGCGTCCAGGGCCAGCGGCCCTTCAGGACCCTGGCGGTGGCAGGTGAGTCCCTGAGCTACAAGCATGGCCAGCCAAAGCAGCCCAGTTATTCACTTAAGAACTGTGGCAGGAACAGTTGTAAAATGGGGCAAAACTCACTTAACTGTCTTGCTTAGCAATGGAAATTTTGGGCTCAGTTGTGGATTGTAAGTCGAGGACTGCCTGTATTTGAAAAAGAGCGACTGCTTTATTTGCCAGGAGCAGCCTATAACTTGCATACCCAGATTTGGGAACTGAAAAGGCACCTTGGGCAAAAAAGTGGCAAAACCCCTTCCAAGAAAAGTGGCGGTGATGGCTCAAAGAGATTGTTTTACTGAGCAGAGTTTGGATTTGATGGCATCTGCAGCCATTGCTAATTCTTACAAGTCTAACAAATCATGGCTATAATTATAGATTCATTTATAGCACAGAGAGAAGTTGTACAGATAGTGCTTGACTTCAGCACCATTTGTTTAGTGATCATTCAAAGTTACAATGGCATGCCAAAAGTGACATGACTATTTTTCACACTTATGGCCTTTGCAACATCCACATGTTAAGTGATCAAAATTCCCACACTTGGCAGTTGTCCCATATTTACGATGGTTGCAGTGTCCCCGGGTCATGTGATCATCTTTTGTGAACTTCTTACAAGCAAAGTCAAGGTGGAAGCCATATTAACAACTGTGTTGCTGATTTAACAACTGCAGTGATTTGCTTAACAATTATGGCAAAAGGGGGTGTAAAATGGGGGCAAAATTCACCTGTCTTGCTTGGCAATAGAAAGTTTGGGCTCAATTGTGGTAAGTTGAGGACTATCTTTAGAAACTAGGAACCAACTAGTTCCCATGTCTGGCACCTCAGCCTCCACTTCCGAGACACAGAACATTCTCAACTTGGGTTTGGAAAAGTTGAAAACTCAGAAAACTGGTAGGAGACTCTGATTTTATTAGCCCAGGAAGGATGCTATAAGAAGCTTAAGAACGGAGTTTGTTGGAATCTTTATTTCAAGTCTAATAGAGCAAATTTGTCTGGAATTAAAATGTAGAAAAATATTGAAGAATAGCTGGCACTAGGAAGCTAATCTTACTTGAAGGGCTCTTCGAAGTATTGCTGGCCTTTGCCCAGATCATTTTGAAGCATACCCAAATACCATTCCAGGATCATCGATGATGTGAGACATCTAATCCAGCTTTGTTTCACTGCTGGAGAAAATGCTCCTCACCTCTGTGGCTCTGTTAAGGATATGTAATTCAGGGAAGAGCCAAAGGAAGCTGGCCTATCAAACGGAGTTGAGTGTTGCTATTCTTCAGGTGCTAGCCAGAGTGTCCTCACCTGCTCTACAACCTGCACAAACTCATTTATTGCCTGGGCATGAAGGCGTGGGTCTTGGGCCAAGTACTCAAAAAGGTTGAAGGGGACGGCACTTCTGAGGCTCTTGGGCAAAGGAATCTGAATAGGCAAAGAGATGTTCCCTATGAGGAAGTGTTCCAGATATTTTTCTTCCAAGGCAGTGTTCATATGCAAGAGGAGGTCCTGAAGTCTTTGTGTGATTTGCTCTGGTTCCCAGTAGGACAGAGGCCGGAAAAGCAAGAGATGCATTAAACAAGTCTTGTAGTGATAGTTTGTGAGCACCGGGTTCTTCTTCTCTGGGATGCTAGACTGTCTGAAAAAGATGAGGATCTGAAGACATTTCAAGTGGCAGCTGTCCTTGGGAGCTCGCTGGCTCACCCATTTGAAGAAGAGCAGCTCCTGAACAGCAAAGCTTCTGTGCCAAACCATACCATTTAGACTGCCTTTTTGGTCATCTTGGGTGGTCAGGAAGATCAGAGAGTCTCCTTGCTGCACTCCGAGTAAGATATCAATAAAGATCTCCTTCCTGGATGGCAGTTCTAATTTCAGCCGGCAGGTTTTGTTGGAATTCTGGATGGTGAGACTTAAATTGTACTTCTGACCAAGAGCGTCCCAGACCTTGTTTACCAGAGCTTGGAACCACTGGATGGTTTTCTCCCCATCCAAATGGGAGCTGGTGCAAAGAACATGCATCAGGGACTTGCTTTGCTCTTCTTGGCTCAGTTCTCGTTCCGAATGATGAAGGGAGCATACCACGTCCCCCAGCAGCCTCTCTCTCTTACACAGGCACTCTACCTCTACCAAGATGTGGCCATGCTTACCTGGAGCACCCTCGGAGTCACTTGTTTCAATGTGAAAGGAATGGCCCTTGGGTGGCAATATAGGCACAAGGATACAGAACGTTTTTGAAACCTCCGTGGACCATCCTTCAAAGGCGCTGCCCACCCCGATGCAGTTCTCCAGCAGAAGTAGATTTTGATTCCGACTCTCTTCAATCAAATCGTTCACTAACATCTCCACAAAATCACACAAGCTGGACATGTCACCGGTTCCTGAATCGATTTGCTGCTCATAAAAAGCCTCCAGCAATTTTTGCTTGGATTGATAATCTTCAGGTTCCTGGTCAGTGTCTTCAAAATCTTCTCCGTTGGTGGTGGTGCTGGAGCTGTCTGTGCTAGAATCGTCATTGGGCTCCTTCTCAGCGGTGCGTCTGCAGCATCCAAACAGGAGGAGGATAACTAGCCCTACATAAGGCCACCCATCCCAGGTTCCATCCCCTGCTTCTAGGTCATCTGTGATCCATTGCTCCCGGTTCTGTTTGAGATCCCAGTTCCAGTTCTTTTGGTCCATTTCCACCTGGAGACGCCCCATTTCTGTAGTCAGCCGCGTCTCATGCTCCTGGAGACGATTCAGTGTGGCCAAATCTGTGATGTCATTGACCAAGAGGGGGTGATGGACTAATGCACGGGCAGCCAGGAAAAGTAGAGGGACGATGGCCATATTTAAAACAGTCGTCTCTGAAAGGAAGCACAAATGACAGAACTATTCAAATGGCAGGCAAAGAAGAGAAAAATATTATTTTAAACTTACGGCTGTTCTTATGTATCAATTCATTGGATTTTAAAAAATATATACAGGTGGTCCTCGACTTAACGACCACAACTGATACCATAATTTCTGTTGTTTAAGCGAGACATTTGTTAAGTGAGTTTTGCCCCATTTTACGACCTATCTTGTCCCAGTTGTTAAGTGAATCATTGCAGTTGATAAGTTAGTAACCCGGTCATTAAGCGAATCTGGCTTCCCCAATGACTTGGCTTGTTGGAAGGTCTCAAAAGGGGATCACGTGACCTTGGGGCACAGCAAAGGTCATAAATATGAACCAGTTTCCAAGCGTCTGAATTTTGATCACATGAACCTGGGGATGCTGCAAAGATCACAACTTTGAAAAATGATGTATAAGTCGCATTTTTGGGTGCTGTTGTAACTTTGAAGGGTCGTTAAACGAACGGTTGTAAGTCGAGGAATACCTGTACCATCAAATTTATCTTGACTGTCTCACAGCAGAGCTCTCCAACCTTTCCAGGTTGGCAGCCTGGAGGGAAAGGGAGGAGCAGGGAAATGTGCGCGGCACATGCACAGCAGTGATGCTAGCGCCTCCGTACATGCACAAACGGGGCCACTAGCGCCCACACAGCAGCACTAGCGCAAGTGAGGAGGGTGCATGTATACGTGCACGCACTCGCCAGCCATTCCCGCATCCCAGTGGCCAACAGGCCATGGACCGGTATCGGCGCACGGCCCACAGGTTAGGGACCCCTATCTTTCAACTTACATGTCTTGTGGTTTTAATGCCTTCCACAATCTGTCTTTTTATGCTATTAACTGCCTAGGGTTGCTACAATGAGATGCGCGACCACAGAATTAGCAATTAGTATTTCTTAGTATTATTAAGGGAAATTCATGAGAAATGAAACCAGAGGGTGTCTAATCCAAAGCTTTTATGCATAGGTCTGCATTTTTTCCAGCGGCTGAAAAAAAATATGCTTGCCCAAGTTGAGGGTGTGTGTGGTGCATGCCTATATTACAGTTGTACCTTATCAATGAATTAGCTGAAGAAGGGAAAAATGGGTCTGTTATGAAGCAGTCCAGGGAACAATGTGCATGTTAGGAACTATGAGGAAAATAAAATTGCAGCTATATTTTTATAGAAATTGCTGGTGCATTCCACAGAATAATATGTACCATCCCAATTGCAGTCCTTCAGAACAAGAACTGAAAATCTATAACACCAAAAAGGTTCAGTCTTTAATACAAGTCATGTCCATGACTGTTCTCTGCGTCTTTCAGCTGTCCTCAGTTTTAATATCAGTACTTTTGAGGCACTTGTGTCTCTTGATGGCTGGGCGTTGACACTCATTGTTTTGTACAGAAGCAGAAATTCAGATTTTCTAGCAAGCTCTTTTAGGAGTCCTTTGAGTCAAGCCAAACAAGAAAATCTAGTGCAATCAATCCATAGTATTTCTCCTGTGATATTGTCACTGCTGAAAAAGTGAGGCATGGGATTTAATAAGCCACCCAGAGTGACCTTGTAGTAAGATGTGAGGCCTATAAATTTCTAAATAAATAAACTGCACCTTTGGTTGCTGCTAAGGTAAGATATAAATTTTATAAATCAATAATCTATAAATTTTATAAATTTATAAATTATAAATGATCTATAAATTTTATAAATCAATGAACAAACAAATTGTGTGTCTTGGATTGCTGTTAAAAACTCAGAAATGGGCAGCTGTGATATATTTAGACTTATATACTGCTTCACAGTGCTTCACAGCCCGCTCTAAGCGGTTTACAGAGTCAGCCTGTTGCCCCCAACAATCTGGGTCCCCATTTTACCGACCTCGGAAGGATGGAAAGCTGAGTCAACCTTGAGCCGGTCAGGATCGAACTGCCAAACTGCTGGCAGTCAACAGAAGTAGCCTGCAGTACTGCCTTCTATCCACTGCACCACCAGGGCTCAAATAGACAGCAACCTCACTAGCAGCCCTGCAGGGCCACTTCCTTCCCCCACCCCAACCTACCTCGGGCGGCACACGGTTTTTTAAGGGGCAGTGCATCTTCAACCAGGGATGCTCCATACCTTGCCTGCTCCTTCCTGGCACCACAGAACATCACATCCTAAGTCACAATCCCATGTTTTCTCCAGCCTTCGGGGAGCCCCATTGGCTGCTAGTTGCTACACTAGTAACCCCTTCCCATTGTTACTTGACCGACTGTGAAGTCACGGCTGGCCTTAAAAGGACATCAAATTCAGCCTCCCATTTGCAGATTCAGGACACCCGGTATTCTTATCCTGCTTTTGGACAGTTGGTCCCCAGAATGTTCCACCACGTCCCAGGAAGGAAAAGAAATATAGAGGTTACGCCAATTTCCCTTGTGGTTTAAACCTTTGGCAGCCATTAATTTGGGGAACGAGAACTGCCCCCTCCTCATTTTCCAGAGGGGTCCTACATTCCAAACAGGAAAAAGCCTTACATGATGACAACCAAGGAATTTTTTTCACTACTTCTGCCATAGTATATAGTCAAATCATAATGACAAATCAAAGCATAAAACTGCAGCAATCCATTTAAATTCCCTGAAAAAATACAAGGGGAAACCAAGAGCTTTTCTGATAGTATCAAGAGGGGAAGGAAACTTTTATGGAAATGGAAGACATTGTAGCAGGAAGAGCCTGACTATCACATCTTAAATCATTAGAAGGCAGGAGGGCAAATTGAGTTAAGTGGGCTAAGCATAAGGCTACCAGCAATAAGCTGCAAAACGTTGTTTGACCACAGGATGGTACCAAAGAGTGAGCTTTCTGTATCACTTTGCTGCCATCTAGTGGTTTTTCTGAACTTTTTGAAGCACAGATGTAGAAACCCCGGCTTAGCATATTGTGCAATTTTAACTGTACAGTCAAAAGAGGACCTAAACTTTTGCCCCTGCCCATTACTAGAGTAGAGCAGATGTTTGATGAGTGCATTTGTAGCATACACTAGATTTGTGGGAGGGGAAGGAACGGGGAAAGATAGGAAGGAAGGGAGGGAGGGAGGAAGGGAGGAAGGAAGGAAGGAAGGAAAGGAGGAAGGAAAGAAGGAAAACAAACAAACATAGTGATAGCCTGGCAAGCAACACGAAAAGCATTTGGCCATGAGCAGTTAGACTCAAATGCCAGCGCTGCTTCCTAAAGGCTTGGGAGTCAGGACGGCTGTTGACACCTGCTCCGACGGTGGTGTAAATCCACAGCAACTCCATTAAAGTCTGTAGAAGGACTCCAAATTTAACTTAACACATGGCAGTGCCCCTGAATTCTCCACCCACAGTCTTTCTCCGACCCCAAAGTCCTTCTCTAAGTCTTCTTATGAGGTGTCACATTGCAGTGGAATAAAATGGCAATTATGGGGATGTCACAGGAGGATTATGCAGCAGGGGGTGGACAAGAAGATCCAAGCTGGCCATGTTAAGTGAGATCTTATTGGTGCAGCAGCTCAAGGGGGGAGGAGGAGGAGGAGGCAGCGGCAATGAGGGATCTGTTCCATTTACAGTGACACTGTTGGTCCATTTGCCAGCCTAATAAGCATCAGATCATTACTGGATCTTCTGCCGACTGAAGATCCCTCTAAGGAGAGAACCCGTCTAGAACTAAGGAGAAAGTTCCTAACAGTGAGAACAATCAACCAGTGGAAGGGCTTGCCTTCAGAAGTTGTGGGTGCTCCATCACTGGAGGCTTTTAAGAAGAGACTGGACAGCCATTCGTCTGAGATGGTCTAGGCCGGCCTCCTGCTTAAGGAGAGGTGAGGCTTCAACTTCAGATGCAGCTGCTGTGCTTTTTCCTTGCTGCAGCCCTTCAGATATTGGAAGACTGCTGTCATGTCACCCCCTAATCCTGCTTTTCATTAGACTAGACATACCCAATTCCTGCAACCATTCTTCATATATTTTAGCCTGCAGTCCCCAAATCATATTTATTATTATAATTAGTTACTTCTCAATTACTTGAAAAATGTCTGTAGATGCATAATTAACCTTGGGAACCATCTTCCCATATGAAACTTTATTTTCAAATTATTTTTAATCTGTGAGTTGTCCAAATGGGGAATTGGGCGAAGAGCAGATCAACCATCCTAGAAAAGTGGTGGTGCAATCTCTAAATGATGGAATTGCACAGTGATGCCAATCCCACTTGATGCTGCGGCCCCAACTTTTCCTGCTGACTTGTGATGTGCTGTAGGGGGACAGCAGCAAAGCCCCAAGAGACCATCATTTAACACACCATACCGGCCAGACAGAGGCAGGACTGGGACGGGCGACATGGCTATCCAATCTTATGGTAGCGTTTGTGCTAATAGAAGGAATGGCTACTACACAAAGTCATTGTGGGGAAATGACCTGCAAAGACTGATGGTTTCAATTGGTTGTGCTTTGATGTGTCCAAACATGGCCACCCCGTGAAGCATCGAGTTATTCTCATAGCCAGTTCATCCTGATCATTCAGTGTCCCAAAACCATTTTGGTTAATTCACCCATTTCCTTCACCCTTAGTTCCCTAATACCCTAACCCACAATTTGTGCAATTAGTGCCATCAACGAGAAGAATCTGAGTTGGATGCCATTTTGTTCCAACTGGCTTCCTTAAGATGGGAAGGGGGATAAGGGACACGGTACGCAAGTGTAACAGGAAGGTGTGATGTGACAATAGCTGGGGCATTTGCAGCTCGTAGTAGCAGGACCCTCCTGAGGCACTGATGCTGGGAACTGTTGAATAACCTTTGCAGGTTTATTTATGCCCGGCTGATGCTCTGCGCCCTGCTGTGCCAAGCGGGGGGGGGGGGGAGAGCAATTCCAAATCCCACCATCAATCAGAATGGCAGCTGGTTTGAGTTAGAGGGTCCCTTGTAATGACAGCCAGCTAATCCCGGCCTCTTTAGCTGGGATTACTGTCAATCATAGTTCATTACCTTTGGGTCCAATCGATGCCCCTCATTTTCCTGGGATGGATGGGGTGTGCATTTCCACTGGACCACAGGCCCCTGCTGCCCTGAAGGCCTGTCATCGCAGCTATAAATAATGTGATTTGTTTGCAGAAGAACAAATTTAGCTTGTCCAAAAGGTCAAAGTGGCAGGGAGCCCAGCCTAGCTCCAAATAGTCTTCCATTAAAATGGTTCTCGTGTCTGAGTTTCACAACCAAAGGAGGAGAAGGCTGAGGACATGGAAGGTGGCGAGGGGGCAGACAGGAATCCGCAGGGCTCTCTGGCCTCTTTCTCCTCCTCTCACCCTGTCCAAGGAGGAACCTATATTCTCTGATGAAACTAAGATGGCAGGAAGAGCCAGGACCCTAGAAGACAGTCTCAAGATCCAGATGGATCTCCACAGACCTGAACACTGGACTCTATCCAGCAAAACGAAATTTACTGTGGAGAAAAGCAAGGTTTTACACTTAGGCAAGATTCACTAAAAGTACAAGTACAGATTAGGTGAGACCTGGCTCAGTAACAGTAATTGTGAGAGGGATTTTGCAGTCCTAGTGGACAGTTGCTTAAATATGAGCCAGCAGTGTGTGGCAGCAACTAAAGAAAGCCAATGTAGTCCTAGGCTGCATTAACAGAGGGATAGAACCCAGATCATGTGAAGTATTAGTACTGCTTTATAAAATGTTAGTAAGACCATATCTGGAATACTGCATGCACCTTTGGTCACTAAGTTATAAAAAAAAGATGTTGACATTTTGAAAAGAGTTTAGAGAAGAGCAATAAAGATGATTAGGGGCCTGGAGACTAAAATATACAAAGAACAGTTTCAGGAATTAGGTATGTCTATGCAAAAAAGGACCAGGGGTGACATGACAGCAGTGTTCCAATATTTGAGGGGCGGTCACAGAGAGGAGGGGGTCAACCTGTTTTCCAAAGCACCTGAAGGCCAGACAAGGAATAACGGGTGGAAACTGATCAAGGAGAGATTCATCCTGGAAATAAGGAGAAATTTCCTGACAGTGAGAACAATCAACCAACGGAACAGAAGTTGCCTTCAGAAGTTGTGGGAGCTTCATCCCTGGAAGCTTTCAGGAAGAGACTGGACTGCCATCTGTCAGAAATGGTGTAGGGCAGGGGTCCCCAACCCCCGGTCTGTGATCCAGTACCGGGCCGCGGCATGCCAGCAACCGGGCCACACAAACAAGTAGAGCCCCATCCGCAAGATGCAGGCAGCACACAAAACCAGGCCCCCTGCGGTCTGCGGAAAACTGGTCCTGGTGCCCAAAAGGTTGGGGACCTCTGGTGTAGGGTCTCCTGCTTGGCAGGGGGTTGGATTAGATGACCTCCAAGGTCCCTTCCAACTCTTTCATTTTATTCTGCTCTAAGAAGGTGTGAGAGGAACTTGCCTCTTCTGTAGCCCTCAGGATTCATTGTTGTGTCTATTTATGGATAGTCCATTTTGCCCGGCAACTAATATCCACTGGCAGCCTTATGCTCCGTAGCCCTATTTAAGCATCCTAATCCTACATCAGTTTCAGAGATCAAAGATGAAAGTTTGGCCCTTCGTCCATGCCTTTGCCACCCTCCGTCGGTTGAATCTCAACTGTCAGCATCAGTAAACCCTTTTCTTCTTATCAAGAGCGATGAGGATATCAACAAAGCCTGAACGCAATTTCCTACTCTCCCGGCTAAGATTATCACATGCGGGTGAATTGGTCCCATCTGTTTCTAAAGCCATCTCTAACACCTTGTCATCTCCTCGGGCTGAATCCACAGCTGGACTAAGCCTATCTTAAGAGCAGCCAGAATGGCAAATAAAAAGGGCGTGCAAGCTCTTGAGGGCTTCAAGAGAATTCATGATGTGGCAGAAATTAGGGGATGGGGATGTTGGAAGAAAATCCTGGATTTGCATCTAGCTGGGTTTTCCATAGAACACATGGAACATAGAGTAATAGAGTTGGAAGGGACCTTGGAGATCTTCTAGACCAACCCCCTGCTCAAGCAGGAGACCCTATACCATTTCAGATGAATGATCGTCCAGTCTCTTCATAAAAGCCTCCAGTGATGGAGCACCCACAATGTCTGGAGGCAACTTCTGTTCCACTAGTTAATTGTTCTCACTCTCAGGAAATTTTTCCTTAGTTCTAGGATGCTTCTCTCTTAGCTTCCATCATTGTTTCTCATCTTGCCTTGTGGTGCTTTGGAAAATATAGTTTGAACCCCCTCGTCTTTGTAGGAGCTCCTCAGATATTGGAAGACTGCTGTCTTTGAGTTCTTCTATGCTCTGACTGGTGTCAGCTTTCATGGTGTCCAGCCACCGTGATATTTGGCAGTCTTTGGTTTCCTTTGACCACTCTCTCTTCCGAACATCATTGCTTTCTCCAGTGGATTCCCCCGCATTGACGTGACCAGAATAAATGAGACACAGTTTTGTGATTTTGCCTTCCGGTGACGTGTCTGGTGTTATGCGCTCCAGCACTTGCTTGTTGGTCACCCTGTTGTCCAAGGAATACGCAGGAGCCTTCTCCAGCACTTCAGCTCAAAGGAGTCAATTTTCTTCCCATCTTGTTTTTTAAATACTTACTAATTATTTCATCGTTTTTCTTTTCTATTGCATAGAACAAAATGGAGAGTTCTGGGGCAGTCCACCAAGCTTCCAATGGGTTGCCATCTGTTTTGGAGCTCCGAAGGAACCCATCTGAGATGTATGGAAAAATGTTTACAACATTCAATTATAGGTCATCGGTTCTGCACGCAGAAACTCCTTTAAAACATTTCTTTGTAAAAGATGGAGAGGATGAGGGGGGCTACCCCCTTGCATTTCAGAGCTGGAGCCATTTTGGCCAAAGAGTAAAATGTTTCCCAGCGGGATGGCTCCTCAGCTGTTTCCATTCGTCCCCGGATTCTAGCTTGTCTAACTCAGCCTCAGCACAGCTGTTGGTAGATGGGGGGGGGAGGCAGACCAGGGCAGAGAGGGGGGAGCCTTCATGGAGGGTAAAAGCCAGAGCAATAAAGAAAACAATGCATGGAAATGGCACTGGGCCATAAAAGCTGAAGGACACATGGAACATAGAACATAGAATACGCAGGCCTCTCTCCTGCTCTTAAGAAGAAGCTAAAACTAAACAGTGTGTGTGTGTGTGTGTGTGTGTGTGTGTGTGTGTGTAAGGGGAGATACCAAAACAAAGGGGAGGGGGAGAAAAAACTTTTTTTAAAAAATGCACACATAGTATGCACATTTAGAATACAAAAAATTACAACTGATTGGTCAAAGCAGTCCAAAGTTTGCAAAGACTTCATGTGTCCTTGCTTCATCTCATATCCTTCTTAACTTGGCTGATGACTTGGCAAATTGCTTGGCAACCTTGCCAACAACTGTGATAAGTTTACCTTTATTAAGAATATTTGTAGCTCAGGGTTGACATGAGGGGTCCTTGGTGCACTCTGGGCTTGCTTGCTTTCTTGCAGACGTTTCATTACCCAACCTAGGTAACATCATCAGTGCTATTGAATTCCTGATGACTTCCCAGATACAGTCATGTAGATTTCTTTGCAGCAAGACAAAAGAGCTATAAGAAGACCTCCAAGGTCCCTTCTAGCTCTATTCTAGGATTTCCTGGTAGTCTTCCCTCGCAATGTTGCTGTCAGCTCTTCAAGGTAGGCCAGGTGAAAAAACAGACTCCACAAGAAATACTGGAACTCTACTGTATTGATAGAGAATATAAGAACAGAATCTTGAAAGCCTAACAGCATTTTCACCTTTCCTCCCCATTCTACCTTCCACAGTCCAGGGGAAGTCACCTTAGGTTTCTTTCCAACGTCTTCTTCCTCTCTCAGGCTTCAGTCTTGTTTTGCTCACTGCCCTTGCAGACCCTCTCCAAGGTCATCCCTGTGGTCCTCTGCACCTAACTGGTTCAGATGCTACTCGGTTTTTGGAGATGCACATTCCCTGGTCTTCTTGAAACAAAGTCCCAACAAGTCCTCTGAACAGCTGTAATGACCACAGGCATATTCACACCTCACCACCTCTTCTTCTTCTTCTCCAGAAATGGTCTCCACATAAAACACGTGGAAAGTTCTCAGAAAACTGCAGCTGCCCAGAGTGAAGAACAGGATTTCCCGAGTGGCTGGCAGCCTGTCTGGGAGATGGGAAAGCAAACCTGAAGCGTGCCTTGGCTTCTTCGATCCCTCTGCCGAAAGGAAACTCGGAAACCTGACCTTCTCCTTGGGATGGCTCCGAAGCAGCCACTCCATCCCATCTTTCAAGGCCTAATTAGCCAGCCAGAGTGCTGGCGTCTCCCACCTGTCCCTCCAGCCATCCGTCAGCCGGCAGTCCGGAATGCTCCGCCTGGACTAAAGCAGCCCAAGAAGCTTCCTGAGCATCCCACGGCTCCCCCACGAGCCAAATGTCTGTAGAGATTCCCCGTCATCCAGGTCACGGTGGTCCCAAGGGGCTTCTTCAAAAGGCGACGGGACTTTCTTGGTTGTTCCTTGAAGACGTTTTGAGACATGGAACGTCTTCAAAGAAAAAGAAAGAAAGTCCAGTTGCCTTTTGAAAAAGCATCCTCGGGAGACCCATGTAGCCATTTCTGAAATTTATCTCCTTCCAGTTTAATTTCACTTTTGCCTGCCTGGCCTTCAGGAACCGCTCTGAACTTCTGGAAGACCATCCTTCAGATTCTTAAGAGAGCTCTCATCTTTCACCGGGGTCTTCTTTTTCCAGGCTAAACATGCCCATCACCACCAAACATTCCTCCAAAAGGTCTTCCTTCCAGAGCCCTTAACATTCCTAGGTGAAGGTGAAGGTTTCAGGATCCTATCAAGGACCCAAGATCTGGTCTTCCAAGCTTTCAGACTTGTGCTGGAGCCCACCCTCAGGGGACTTCTCTCCTTCAGAATGTGTTCTTTGGGCTAGTCTTTGTGTAGTATTTAATGTGGTGCCTGGTTGGGTGTGGCTTAGATGTTTGTAAGTGGATGCCTCACTTGCTGTGAAGGATTCCCAAAGCTGAACTGCTCGAAGCGTTAGCCACCCATAGTTCTCAGAAATGAAGGCAAATATAAGTGTCTTCGGATGACGTTGCAGGATCCAATCTAGGTTGGAAAAGGTGATCACATGATCCCAGGATCTTGCAACTGTCCTAGGTACAGGCCAGTTGCCAAGCATCCGAATTCTGATCATGTGACCACGGAGATGCTGCACCGGATCGCACGAAAAACGGCCGTAAGTCGCGTTTTTTTCAATCATGTTGAATGGTTATTAAAGAAATGGTTGTAAGCTGCTTGTAAGGTGCTTGTGCTACCTCCACCGCTGCCCTGAGAGAATTCCCAAAAGGAGGACTTCTCATTGGGATCCAGTAGTCTCCCAGGTCTGGATCAGGCAGACTTCAGATCTGACCTCATAAGAAGAAAAATGTAACCCACCCCCACCTCCCAAAGCAACTGGTGCTGAAATATGCATTTTTAGCCTCGTCTCCGGAGCAGGCTGAACAAAACTGTGGCCTCACAGCTGCCATCCTTCCATCCATCCCCACTTCAGTCCAACTTCCCCAGCCGGCTTGGGGAAACCATGGCTGATTGGCACCTGGTTAGGCTGCACTCAGCTGTCCCTGATATTTGACACACAGACACTGGCGCGCACACACACACATCCACACCCCTCCTTCCTGCCAAACCAAAAAACACACATTGGCCCTGGGAAAGGGAAATAAACATGTGAGAGAAGGAGATGGGAGAGGGAAAAGAGAAAGAGAAGTCCTACTACAAGAGCCAAAGTGCCCCTTAGGAAGTTGCCAGCCTCTTTGGTGGAGGGATCACCTGCAGCCAGTTCTTGATGTGGACCTGGTGGAGGAAAGCTGAGCTCTCGAAAAATGGTTGCGTGAAGAGGACCACCTCGCTGGGGATTTCAGAACTGAAAAAGAGCCTGAGAAAGTATTCTTTAGCTGGATCTTTTCTTCTTTTGTCAAGCTAGTTGCTCAAGATTACCGCCATATTTTTTTTTCCCCTCTTGAGCCTTTTCCATCAGTCCACCACAGGACTTTCTACTGGGAAAGTCCTTCGCAACGTGTGGCACGCACACAGCGACCTTCTTCTGCTCCTCTCCTCCAAACTGGAACGAGGGCTTCGTTTCTGCATCATCGGGAATTATGTCCGCATTGTTGGAAGCTTCAGATGGAAACGCAAAGGGGATACAACCAAAAACTCTCTCGGGAACATCCAGCATGGAAAGGAGCGGTAAGGCTGGGAATTTTGGAACATTCAGGTTGGTTTGAGGATTTGCAAATAATTGACACGGGGGGGAAGACTATTTCTGAGGATCTTCAGATAAACTGTCTCATTTATTCATGGTAGATCTAATCTGACTAAAGAGTCCATCGCTTGCTTGAAAAGGGTCCCGTCTTCCATGGTGTAAGTCCAATGCATGACGCTGTCCCGGTGTTGCCTTGGGTCAAACAAGTTTAGCCCGTTCCTGGATCCCATCGTGCCTTGATCCCATCTTTCTGTAACCACAAAACTGATGTTGTCAAATGCAGATCAAAGGAGAAATGCTTCCCTTCGCCCAGCAGACGCTCAAATGTTTTTAGTTTTGGACAATCAGAATCAGGCAGTGATTGGAAGAAAAAGAAGGCGAGTTCACAACAGATTCAGAGTATATGAGGGAGCATTGTAGAGTTTCTCTTCAATACTAAAGGGATGAATGCATACATATTAATTGCAAGATTTGAGCCGTTTTATCAAATCTCATAATTCCTAGCTTCCTTAGTGTCTGCAAAATTTCTAGGAGGTGGTTTATTTCAGGGAAGAAAAATGCTCAGCCCAAAACTGCCTGCTGTTCTTGAGCCCCGTTTTGATAATATTAAGGATTCCGGTGTATAGGTTATGCCATTTGGAGGAATGGGAAAAATTATGTTATATTTACATTCCGTGAATAATTGGTTTATTTTGCTATGCTTTGTTATTTTGTTGTTTGTTTAAAAAATATAGAACAACTAACAATTCTGCCTTGGTCTCTTTGGTGATGTCCCTCTATTTCTGCCATGCTCTCTGCTGATGAAAAGAACTTTAAAAAATGCAATTCCCATTGCCAGCATATTGATTCTCCTTGATACGTGTGTTTAAAGAAGCTTTGCTGATAGTTCAATTGAAACAGTTCACAGAGCATCTTATAAAACAACTTCAACAAATATAACAAATATAACACACACACACACACACACACACACACACACACACACACACATATATATATATATATATATATATATATATAACAAAGATAACTCTGATTTACACGTGGGAAAGCTGACTCCAAAAGGGTGGGAGGAAGAAAATGAGAAAATTGTTGAAAAGTAAAATTAAAATCTGACAGAAGAGAATATTTGCAACTCAGAGTTGAAGTGAGGGGTCCTTGGTGTTCTGTGAGCTTGGTGGTTTTCTTGAAGACGTTTCATTACCAAACTAGGTAACATCATCAGTGCAATGCCTGGCTGGGATGAAAAGAGATAGGGAAAATTGGAACCAAGAGGAGCTGGTTTCTCCATAGTCATGGGGTTGCATCTTATTCCCAAGCAACAGTCTGATGGTGTGGGATTGTATTGTTCTGCTGTACTTATGATTGGTTGCTTAGTGACTGTTCAAAGTTATGACGGACTCCCAAAAGGAACTTCCACAGTCATGTGTTGCATTTTGGCAACTGGCCTGCATTTACAGCTGTTTGCAGCATCCCATGGTCATGTGACTGTGATTTAGGATGGGTTTTTTTTGCTGGAAACTGGTGTTTACTTCTGATTTCTGGCAAAAAAAAAAAAAAAACCCACCCATTGTGGAAAATGAGTTTGAGTTTGTTTAACGACCACTGCAAAAAATGTCATAAAATTGGGTCAGTTGCATTTATGAGTCAAGGACTGGCTGCAATCCATTTTCATTTGGGATGTGTTATTATTCCTCTTTCTTCCTCGGAGACCCTTCTTCCTCTTTTTCGTCTTTCTTTTCTCCTCTTCTTCCTCTCCTTTCTGGAGGAATGGCAAAACACATTTGGCCTAAGTCAAATACACTATTACTACCCGTGTGTCTTCCAAAATAAGACCGGGTCTTATATTAATTTTTGCTCCACAAGATGCATTAGGGCAGTGGTTCTCAACCTTTCTAATACCACGACCCCATAATACAGTTCCCCATGTTGTGGTGACCCCCAACCATTTATACATCACCAGGTGCCAGGGGCGTGGCCAAAGAAAAGGGGGAAAAAATGGCGGACAGCCTTGTTTGGCGACCCCCGTGAAATGGTCGTTCAACCCCAAATGGGGTCCCGACCCACAGGTTGAGAACCACTGCATTAGGGCTTATTTTCTAGTTAAGTCTTATTTTGGGGGAAATACGGTACTAAATGTATCTGTCTGGCTGACAATCTTAACTGGGGCTTATTTTGGGGGTGGGCTTATATTACGAGTATCCTGAAAAATCACACTAGGGCTTATTTGGGGGAAAACACGGTATGTTATTATTACTGATTCAATTATGTCCGATTCTCGGGGATTGCCCGGACAGGTTACTGCAGGTTTTTTGGCAAGGTTCAGAAATGATTTGCCGTTGGCTCCTTCCTAGGGTTGTGAGAAAGTGGCTGGCCATGGTCACCCAGCTGGCTTTGTAGAGTAATAGTAAGATGCAGTCACATCTTACTCCAGGGGAGTTATAACCAGATTTTAAAGCTGAACAGGAGACTATGTATGTATCTTGGACAGAAGACAATTGTTGATTACAACTTTATTTCAATCAAGAAACTGAGACGCCCTGAGTTCTACTCCCAGCTGAGGGACAAAGGCAACTGGGTGATCATGGCCGGTCGTTTTCTCTTAGCCCTAGGAAGGAGGCAATGGCAAATCACTTCTGAATTCTTGCCGGAATTTGTCTAGGCAGTCTCCAAGAATCAAACACAATGGAATGGAATTTCATTATATTTCTCAGAAGAACAGAAATGGATGCCTCCAGGGCATTTTCAGGTTTCCCAGGCGTTTTATGCATGTTCAGCTTCCGTCATAACTCTTGCAAAGAGTTTTATTGCTATTCATTTAGTTTAGTGTATTGCTGTTATGGACAGAGCGGTACAATCAAAAGTGTCAGGAGCAAGGCTCAAAAGTCTTGTTAGACATGAACTAACACCGGCTTTGAGGTGTCAATTCTCATCATCCCTCACCAGGACAGCCCTTTGCTAGCACTTCGCCTGCTTATAATACATGTGTTTCTCAAGCGGAATAAAGCTGACAAGGACGTGCTGCGGATGTGGGTGTACGTGGAGGACAACAAGGTTAAGAGGGTGGCTGGGCGTGTGCAACTGAGGTCGCCCTCTTGACCTTTTGGATCCCCTGCAAGCCTCAGCTACTCTAATAGGAATTGTGGCTTCCCCTCACTCGATTTCTCTAACAGAAGACCATGTTGCTAGCAGAAAACCACCACTGAGTCCAAAATTTCTGCTTGATTTGGCTACATATGCAGCGGTGGGATTCAGCCGGTTCGCACCGGTTCAGTAGAACCAGTACCAAAATTTTGCTGACTTCGGAGAACCGGCTGAGTGCACATTGCTTCCAGGAGTCCATTCTAGGCCTCGGAGGCCTCCCCAGCCTAGAATAGCCTGCTGGAAGTGCTTGGATGCCACTTCCAGAGGTCCTGCATCCAATAAGAGAACCGGTTGTTCAGGTATTTGAATCCCACCACTGTACACATGTTTACATTTACATCTTTGTGTTTTTCTAAACCCTATTTTATTTTTATTTCATTTTTCTCACTCTGCGTTGTCTTTCAAAATGGTTAAGGACCAAAATAAATAGTCTGACTTTGACTCCAGAGAGTCAAAGATCAGGCAGTTCTGATGTCCAGGGCCTGCGTCGAGGTATTCTTCTTTCTCATTCTCTTCAGGAGAAAATGGTGAGACCTCTCGGTGTAAATCTTCTGATTCCAGCGGCGAAGAGGAAGCAAGCACGGGCCAAAAGAAGCCTCGTAGGCAGAGGACCCATTTCACCAGCCAGCAGCTGCAGGAGTTGGAGGCAACTTTCCAGAGAAATCGCTACCCGGACATGAGCACAAGGGAAGAGATAGCAGGCTGGACCAACCTGACGGAGCCGAGGATAAGGGTGAGGATCCCTGTAGGAAGAGGTGATGGGGTGAACAAGGGATACGGTACCTCAAATTAGCTCAGCCACACTAATGATAATGATGTGCCATGCAGTGGTTGTGCAGATCTGGACACTGCGGAAACAAAATAACCACTTCATAAACGCATGGCACAACAAACCCATCAGGACTAGATTCAGCAGTCCATCTGCATTTAAAAGACAAAGACAGCAAAGTCCACATTTTGGACAGAGAGGACCGCTGGTTTGAAAGAGGGGTCAAAGAGGCCATCTATGTCAAGAGTGAATAGCCCTCTCTCAACAGAGGGAGAGGGATCCAACATCATGTCTCTCCAGTCTACAACACAGTCCTTTCAGCAGTCCCAAGAAGGCTCCACAGCCATTTGCACCACTCAGGTGACCCTGAGGACACAGATAAACCTCCAGGTGGCCTCAAGGACTCTCTGAAAGGAGGCAAATGTCCAGCTGTCTGCAAGGAGTATAAATCCTTCCATTCCCCACCATCCAGTCAGAGCTGAAGACGCTTCTTGGATGAGAAGCGTCTTCAAAGAAAAACAAGAAAGTCCAGTTGCCTATTGAAAAAAACACCTTTGGGATGTTCTGTGGAGTTGATTTCTTGGTCTGGTCTACCTAGTAGGTTTTAAACTTTCTCACACTTCTGCTCTGAGACACCTCTTTCGCAGTGCACTTTTTTCTTCCTCTGCTTTTCCAGGGTCTGCTACACATTGCAATCACAGTTGTGTTAAGTCTACACTCTGGTTGGAAATTAGGGGAGGGGGGGCATTTAGCGACAATGCATCTGGAAGACAGCAGAAAGGGAAAGATGGAATGAAAACTTGTGTAAATCGTAGCAAAATGATGGGGTGATGTGTCCGAGTTGAGGTCTGCAGGCTGGCTTAAGAAATGTTGCTGCAACACTTTGCGTTTCTTTTCTGTTAAAACATAGAATCCTATGATTGTTCACGCATTCCTCCATGAAAGCATGGAGAATGGTACAAACTGAAAGCATTCATAGATGCATTTTGCAAATGTAAGTAAATATATGTGTCCCAGGATAGTGTTACAGGATCCAATCTGAGTCAGATTTATTCTTCCAACCCTTCAGATTCCTGTTGGAGCCCATCCTCAGGGTACTTCTCTCTGTAGAATGTGAGCACTAGGCTCCTCTACATATGGTATTTCTATGTTGCCTGGTGGTGTGGGCTTTTAGTTGTTAATGACAGTGTTGATGACCAGCTATTATTAATTCTTAAGTCTTCATCATGGTTCAGTCCAAGCTGGGAATAAACAACATGGTGATTGCTTTAGAAAGAAAGTTGCAGTTTATTGAAGAGGAGAGCCAGACAGAAAGATGGCTCTGGAAGAAGAAAGAAAGAGCACATGTAGGGAGTGGTTTTTTTATACCCTCTGGAGCCTTTTGTTTGGAATTGTTCCTGTGGCATGAATTTTGACCTGAGTCTGAGTGTGCCTTTCTGGTATTCTGATGGTGGTGGGTTAATCCTATTATGTCCCAAGGGTCACATCCTGCTTCCCTGGGACTGTGGCTGCTAACTCTTAGATTTTTGGTGTTGGTTCTAGGGATCTTTCTTCCTAATCCTAGTTTCCTGACTCCAATCTTTCTGATAAGAGTATCTGCATTTCTATAAAGCTGGTTTCTGCTTGGGGGAGGGAGACTTGGGGCTATTAAGAAAAACTGGGCATGCTTTTCTTCCTCTTTAAGATCCTTTGAGGAAATACATTTTTCTGCCCTTTTAATATTTCCTTCTCGGGGGGGGGGGGCTGACTTCCCACAGCAGTTTCCCAGCTACCAAGACCAGTAGCTCTTGAAAGTCTTCCGTGAATAGTTCTTATTCTCTTTTAAAAGAGGACCAGAACAATATATGGAGGACCATCACTGTTACGTGGCAACAGTTTAACACAACTAGTTTTGGAATTGTTCCTCAGTCTTGCATAAGTGAGTACTTTTTTTTCTCCCTACCTGTTTCTTTTCTTTCCAGGTGTGGTTCAAGAACCGAAGAGCCAAGTGGCGGAAAAAGGAACGTCACCAGCAGACAGAGCTTTGCAAAGGAGCCTTTGGCTCACAGCTTAATGGTTTGACCGGAAACCCTTATGACGACCTTTACCCAACCTACGCCTATAACACCTGGACTCCCAAGGGCCTACACAGCAACCCTATCCATGGCAAAGGCTTCCAGCTCTTCAACTCCATTAACCTCAATTCTTTTGCACCCCAGAATGTGTTCCCGGCAGCTGCAGGAACTTCTCTATCTGGAGTCCCATCTCTGGAAAACTTCAACAGCCTGGCAAGTCCTCCCGGGCACTCGGGTTCAATGTACGCGCCTGGTGCCCCTTCGCCCTACATGTACAGGGACCCCTGCAACTCAAGCCTGGCTGGATTGAGACTCAGAGCAAAACAGCCACAATCTGCTCTCAATTATGGTGCTCCACAAAACACGGGTATCGGCCCCAGCTCCAGCCAGTATCATCTGGACAGGCCAGTCTGACCCTCGGCTGTAGGTCAAAAGATGATCAGAATTTGTATCCCATTAAGAATCTTGCCAATGGCCTCCATAAAAATAATAATAAAAAACGCCTCTTCAAGTCCTGTGTGGGGAAAAATTAGGGTTCCCAAATAGTTTTTTTTCCCCCTTTCTGAAGACCACGTCAGCTTCAAGTATTTTCTTAGCCCAGATCTTGCTTTGGTTGAAGGCTGTAAGCAGCCAACCATAGTCCAATTTCATCTGAACCATTCAGGCTCAGATACCGGAGATGGTTGGAATTAATTAACGAATAATCATCCTGGAAAGATGAATTGGCAGGGCTGTTATCAGATGTTCGGAGCAGATAGAGAAAAAAAAAAACATCTGTTTTTAATCATCAAAGCAGAAGCTCTCAAAAAAAGGAGGAACCCCCCCCCCCCCACCAAACCTCCTCTCTACCAAGGCAGTTTTCTTCAACTTGGCCACCCCCAGGGGTGTTGGATTACAATTCCTCTCATCCTTAGCCAGCATGGCCATAACAGTCTAAGTTCAATTCAGGTAGTAAGCACCACACACAGGAAGGCTGAGCTGGAGAATAGGCCTAATGAGGCAAGTAATTGGAGCCCTTTTCATCAAGGTCAACTTTAATCTCTACCCCACTTTCCCTAAGAATTTCAGTTTCCCCTCCTGGATGCCCAGAAAATTCCAGGTCAGGGCCATGAAAATGAACTAGATTCCCTGCTCTCTTCTTGTGCTGGCCCGCTCCCCTAGATCACTGGACAGATCCTGTAATTCAGCTTTACGAATGAGCGGTTCGCTTCCCCCTCCTTTTTCTAGGGGGCTGGAAACCAGTCCTAAATCACATTTTTTAGTGCTATTGCAACTTTGAACGGTCACTAAATGAACTGTTGTAAGTCGAGGACTGCCTCTAATTTATCAGCTCCAGAGTCATTCTGAAATTGAGTTGCTTTTTGCCATCTATTGCAAACAATGTAAAAACCAGCCAGAGCATTGCAGCCCATTTTCTCCTTTCTCTTCTGTTAACCAGGGGTCGGCAACCTTGGCTCTTTTATGACTTGTGGACTTCAACTCCCAGAATTCCTGAGCCAGCCCACAAGTCATAAAAGAGCCAAGGTTGCCGACCCCTGTGTTAGGCGCATGAACGTGTCAGATGGTAGCCCTATTTTTTTTTAATCTCCATAATCCATCCTTCCCCTCCAGGTGCCCCCTATGCTAGATATCTTGGTCTGACCCCCACCCCCCCCATCACGTCTAACTAGTCTCTCTACTAATTCTGCTGTCCTTCCAAATTAAGAACGTCCTTGAAAACTATCTGGAGACCTTTAATCATGTCCTTTTTGCCTTATCCATCTCGAAGTACCCTTGATAAATTTAGAACTAATAAAAGAAGATACTTCTTCACTCAGCGTGTTGCCCGAGAGTGGAATTCACAAGAGCAGAAAGCAGTCTTTGCCTCCACTGAAGTTGAAATGAGCTCTACTCCAACTATAAGCCCATAGTTAGTTATTTTCCCTAAATGTTTACTACTATGTTTTAGAATTTGAATTACTTCACTCTCTGCCATCTGTCTGTCTGTCTGTCTATCTATCTATCTATCTATCTATCTATCACCTATCATCTGCAGTATCATCTATCATCTATTATACTATTTTAACTATATAATATTTTTACTGTAACCAGACCCATTTAGGATCACAGATACCAGATTTTTTTAAAAAAAATAATAAAATGTGCCTGCAGACATTTGGAATTTCCCACGGTGAATCAACAGGGGGAGGTAGGGATGTTTTGTTTTTGATTGGAATCTCCTCCCCTGCAGTCCCTTTGAGGAGAGGAGAGCAAACAGCCATTCTTATTGTGTGTCTCTGGGGAGAAAAAAGTTGAGAATTACAAGATTTGGGCTGGAAAATTGGTCCAGAGGAGGAGCGTTAGGAGGAGTGATCATTCCTGCTCATTGTATCTCACCTTTAAATGCCCTCAAAGATAGGCTCACCATATAGCTTTATGGTTGCCAACACAACTTAATCTTGCAGAAAGATCCATGTAGTTCAGGGGTCTCCAGACATGGAAACTTTAGAACTTGTGGACTTTAACTCCCAGAATTCCCCAGCCAATAAGAGTTGAAGTCCACAAGTCTTAAAGTTGCCAAGTTTAGAGATCCCTTATACAGCTGAACAAATTAATAGGGAAGGAAGACAAAGAAGAACCCATTTTATTCTTTTGCATAAGTTCCAAATTTGACTTTTCGGAGTATAAGACTATGACTACTTTGGATATGGTTTTGGTTGTTAAGTTTTCTAGGTCAACGACATTTGTTGTAATATTACAGTGCAGCAAAAGGTCTTCTGGCATACTAGTTACTGGTGAATTGAGGCCTTTTGGTTACATCTAAAAATATATCTGCTGTAAACAAGTCATCAGCCTCCTGGAACAGAGTCTCTGACAGAATGTTAGGAGTGTATTTCAGTCCCACTACAAAGGAAGTGATGGTACCATGGAACACACACAAACAGACCTTGCCCTCCTCCATCCACTTGGAAGAGGTCAGTGTGACATGTCCTCAAAGAACTCTGCTTCATTAAGATTCTTGTCTCCTCCATGCTTGGTTGCCCAACTGGGATAATCAAACATAGCATCTGAGCAAGTACACAGAGGATCAGGTAACCGGTGGCTTGCAGAGTCAGGCTGCAGCCCCCCCTCAATGATGGACACACTTTTAAGTTCATTAATGGGTTTTCTCAGAAGATTCAGTTCCTTATTTTCTATTTACAACATTTGCAACCTGCTTTTTCGTTTTTTTTCCAGAACAGAACAGAATAGCTTTATTAGCCAAGTGTAACTGGAAGTTCAGCTAAAAATGAATGAAAAGCTTGTCCTTAACATGAATAATTAAACATCTAAAAGCAAAGACAGAGCAACAGCGGGACTAGTTAACTAGAGGTGTAGATAAACAGATATCGCCTAGTCCCTAGTGGAACAGTGAAATGCTTCTGTATTATTAGGAATATGCTCTATCAGGTCACAAGTTAGCAAATTTGGGTGACCACCTGGCTGATCACGTGGTGCCCTCCAGAAAGCATCCCCATGAGAACTGATGGGGAGCTGGTATAGAAGGATCTCTTGGTAAACAGGATCAAAGCTGCTGATTGAGTGGCTAGGTTGTTCTGCCCAATCTTACAAGGAAAGAAATATATACATGAAGAACACAAATCACAGCAATGGACACTTAATTCATTAAGCGAAAGCAAAGCAGGGCTGGGAAGAATCAAGAGGAGAACGCTCCTATTTTCAAGCTGGAGACGGAGATTTCAGCTCGGATGGAATATTGCATTCAGTTTTGGTCACAATATATATATAAAAAAAAACATGTTAAGTGAGAGGTCCTTGCTGCTCTCTAAGCTTGGTGGTTGTTGTTGTTTTGCACACATTTCATTACCAGACCAGGCAACATCATCAACTCATCTAGAAAGAATGCAGAGAAGAGCAACAAAGATGATTGGGGAGCTGGAGGCTACATACAATGAATGTGTTTGTAGGAATTGGTAGCTAATGAAAAGAACTAGGGGTGACATGATGGCAGTGTTCCAATATTTGAGGGGCTGTCACAAAGAATCAGAATGCAGCTGGACGGGATCTTGGAGGTCTTCTAGTTGAACCCCCTGCTCAACCAGGAGACCCTATACAATTTGAGACAAGTGGCTGTCCAATCTCTTCTTAAAAGCCTCCAATGATGAAGTACCCACAACTTCTGGTAGCAAGCTGTTCCATTGGTTAATTGTCCTCACTGTTAGGAAGTTTCTCCTTAATTCCAGGTTGCTTCTCTCCTTGATGAGTTTCCATCCATTGTTTCTTATCCTGCCCTCTGGTGTTTTGGAGAATAGGCTGACACCCTCTCTTCTTTGGTTATGTAGAAGAGGGGATGATCCCTTTTCTCCAAAGCATCCAAAAGCAGACAAGTAACGGGTGGGAACCAATCAAGGAGAGATCATCCTAGAAATAAGGAGAAATTTTCTGTTATTCTTTTGATTGTTTTGCTGAACAATTCCACTTCTCTCCCCGAGGAGGATGCCTGGGTGAGGTGCTTGGTTGCAGGTTGCCCCCATGTCACACTTTGTGCTGCAAAGGCAACCCGATTCATTATCATTATTCATTTAGTGCAGTGATTCTCAACCTTTCTAATGCCGTGACCCCATAATACAGTTCCCCATGTTGTGGTGACCCCCGAATGGGTGTGGCCACCAATAAGAGGGAGTAGGACAGCTAGGGAAAAGGGAAAAAAATGGCGGACAGCATGGTTCGGTGACTCCCGTGAAATGGTCATTCGACCCCAAATGGGGTCCCGACTCACAGGTTGAGAACCACTGATTTAGTGAGAACAACTTGCCTCCAGAAGTTGTGGGTGCCCCATCACTGGAGGCTTTTAAGAAGAGACCGGACAGCCACTGGTCTGAAATGATATAGTTTTTCCTGCCTGAGCAGGAGGTTGGACTAGAAGACCTCCAAGGTCCCTTCCGATTCTGTTGCTTTGTGATCACCCTACCACTGCTGTCCCTCCCTTTCAGAGGGGGGGGGGAAAGCGGAGCCGTCGAAAAGACCCCGCATGTCCGGGGCGCACGCAAACGGACGTCTCGTCTAGGATCTGTCCATCACGCTCCCGCTTCTGGGCGCCCGGAAAGAGCCTTGGAAAGAGAAGAAAGACTTCCGGAGCTGACCCGGAACCGGAAGATCCGAAACGTCCCTGCTTCCTCCCTCTGCGTGCGGGAAGCGTTGCTCGGGAAAGGGGACTCGGAGCGCCCGGAGAAGGCGAGGGAGCGACCGCGGAGAAGGGCCGGCCGAGCCGGGGAGGCCCCCGCGGAGCCGCCATGGCGGACGTGACCGCCCGGAGCCTGCAGTACGAGTATAAGGCGGTGAGTGCGGGGCCGGCGGCGGGGCTCCTCGGGCCGGGCGGGCAGACGGCGAAACCCGCCCGGGTGGCAGTCCCGCTTCCACGGGTGGACGAGGCCGCCTCTCCCGGGCTAGGTCTCTTCCTGGGCCCCGCCAGGATGTCGAGGGAGCCGGCCGAGCCCAGCACGGGGAAGGGAAGGCCGAGAAGGGAGGGCAAGGCTGGGGATAACGCTCAGACTCTTTTCAGGGCAGCCTGGAAGTCGGGACCCAGATTCCCTAGGCTTGGCAGGTAGTCCTCGGCTTAACGACCGCTCGTTTAGTGACCAAAGCTACGACGGTGCTGGAAAAAAGGGGCTTGTGACTTTTTCACACTTAACAACCGTCGCAGGGTTCCTGTGGGTCACACCACCAAAATTTGGGTGCTTGGCCATTGGTTCGTATTTATGATGCCCGCAGCATCCCGGGGGTCACGTGATCCCCTTTTGCAAGTACAACTTTGGTTCTGACAAAGTCCGAGTAGCCAAATTCACTTAACGACCGTATTACTAACCCTAGCAGCTTCAGGGATTGACCCAACAACTCTGGCAAGAAAGAGGGTGAAATGGGGACAAAACTCAACTTAAGGACTGTCTCGCTTAGCCATAGAAATTTTGGACTCAGTTGTGTTTGTAAGCCGAGGACTGTATTTATTTATTAAATTTTATCTGCCACCCGTCTTGTCAGAGACAACTCTGGACAGCTTGGAAACATTAAAACTAGTACACATTAATAACGCAATAAGTAAAAACAATAATAAATGGGTTGGGTGTGTTCAGCTGTCAATTGGGGAACTTAGATGTGGATTACTCCGCCAAGCGCGAGGTGCAATTCAGCCTTCTAAGCCGATGTTTTTGAAACTTCAACCCTCACTTAAAATTGCCAGGTTTGAAAAAATCCTGTCATAACCCACTACCAGCTTTTCTGATTCGATGGTGATTAACTAATTTCAGGGCAACAGTAGAAAATGCCTTTAATGTAATTATAATGTAATCATTTTAAGCACTGCCTGACTGCAAATGATAGAAGGAAATGTTTGAAATAAATTGTTGTATATCGCTCACCATCTTTCTGATCTCCCTCTTTCGACTCTTTCTCTTGTCTGTCTCTGCTGCAATTCTTTCAGAACTCTAATCTTGTGCTTCAAGCTGACCGGTCCCTGATTGATCGGACCA